GAAGAGAAAAACGAATAGGGAAGGGAGATCAATTCGATCGAAGATGTGAATCCATTGGAGTTTACGGGCTTCGCAAGCTCTGCCATTCATCGATTGTTGAGCGATTTTTTCTGTAAAAAAAACTGGCTGAGCAAGGCCAGCAAGGCCAGCAAGGCCAGCAAAGGCTAGCAAGGCTAGCAAGGCCAAGAGGCCAGCTAGACCAGCTAGCCCAGCTAGGCCAGCTAGGCCAGCAACTGGCTAAACCAATTGCTATGCGATTTATAGAATTTGACGCAGAATTTGATGCTGATTCTGAATATCTATTCCGTTTTTGTTAAATGATAATCTATCAGAAGTTATTATAAGCGTCTAAAGGCGTGTGTCTAAAAATGTGGTTAATTTGAGGGCTTAGCTGCTTAGTTTACGGCTTCGAAAGCTCGCCATTTACCAATCGTTGAGCGAATTTTTCTGTAAAAAAGGAAAAAATTGAATTTTCTAAAAAATTTGCGGAAAAAACTGATGATTTAAGATTTTTGAATGAAACTTAAACTCACTCAAATTGATCCATGAGAAAAATCAAACTCTTTCGGAGATTTATGCCTTGTTTCCCCGTTTTTCTCCTTTCTTTCTTCATTGGATTTAGAGCTCTCGCAGATGAGACAAGTCAACCTAAAAAGGTGAAAGTTGCAGTTGGTAAAGCCGATTGGGTTATTGAAACCAAGTTTGTATGATTAAATATGCAAATTTGGGTGAACTGGATGGCACAACGGAGTTTCTGAGTGAGAAAGCTTGCCGAAGATGCGTTTAAGAATATCGGGTTTTAGTGACTATTGAGTTGGGTTTGTTTTAAACGAAATAGTCTTGAAAGTGGGGTATTTTATGGAAATTCTGGGCGAACTAGATAGCACAAGGGAGTTTCTGATTGAGAAAACTTGTCCAGGAGGCGCTTGAGAACAACAGGTTTTGGCTACGATTGAGTTGGGCTTGTTTTAAACGGAACTGTCTTGAGACTGAGGTATTTTAGGGAAAATTTGGCCGAACTGGATGGCACAAGGGAGTTTCTGAGTGAGAAAACTTGTCCAGGAGGCGTTTGAGAACAACAGGTTTTAGTGACGATCGAATTGTGCTAGTTTTAAACAAAATTGTGTTGAAAGTGGGGTATTTTATGGAAATCTTGGCCGAACTGGAACGCACAACGGAATTTCTGAGTGAGAAAACTTGTCCCAGACCCTTTTCAGAATATCGGGCTTTAGTGACGATCGAGTTGTGCTTGTTTTAAGCAAAATTGTTTTGAAAGTGGGGTATTTTATGGAAATTTTAAGCGAACTGGATGGCACAACGAAGTTTCTGATTGAGAAAACTTGTCTCCAAGATCACTGGAGACATCATGGTCGATCATGTTTTCGAAGAAATGGATTATTTTCCCAAAGACAGCCTGTTTTCAAATTCGACAGCTTTTAAGCTGAATAACTCAGTTAATCGATTAGTTTTATTGCCTGCAAACGATCAAGCTTCAATTCTTCCTACCAAGCCGGCGAAGTTGCGTCACAAATTGTGACAATGTGATGCGTGACTAGCATGAGAACGGAGATCACTCCAGCCAAAAAGCACACCAACATCTCGATGAAGATGAACCACGCTAAGGTTGTAAAATGTGGTAAAATGTTGTAAAATGTGTTCAAATGAGTTAAAATGTGTTAAAATGCGTTAAAATGCGTTAAAATGTTGTAAAATGTGTTCAAATGTGTTCAAATGTGTTCAAATGTTGTAAAATGTGTTAAAATGAGTTAAAATGAGTTAAAATGTGTTCAAATGTGTTCAAATGTTGTAAAATGTGTTCAAATTTAAGTTGTGACTCCCATGATTCTCAAAAAAATTACCTAATTGAGGTAAATACGAGGTTTTAGGGATGTCAGCAGCGGCAATGTCAAGCAAGACCATCATTGTCAACAAAACGCAAACGTTGAGAAGAACCTAGAAGGATGAGGTAAAGGGATTAGAATGGCAATGGCTTTCAGATTGACGGGAAATCTAGAGGGAAATCTAGAGGACGATTTGAAGAGGCCTAGGCTGCTTTTGGATGTTTCAACTCTAGCACTGACCTTGCTAAAGCGCGTGCCGGTGTTGATTGTTGGTAGAAAAGTTCCGACAACGGCTAGATTGCAAGCGAGGAATGTGGGCACCATTAGAACCCATACATAGCAAGTGGAGTTTCTAAATTGTAGTAAAGCTGTAGTTGTAGTAAAGCTTAGTTTAGTAGTAAAGCTTAGTAGACAATGAAAATGACAACCAAAAAGACGAAAAAGTCCTAGATCCGATTCACAACGATTTCTGACATCCAGGTAATCCATTTTTGCTAATTTCGATGATTTTTTGACAATCTGGAGGTCACTAAACCCTTGGACGCTGATTTGAGACGATGAAATAAAAATTCAAACATTTCTCTTCATTTCACGGTCTCAAAATGTGCTGTGACCTCCAGTTTGATCAAATTTTTTTTAGACTTTTGGCTTTGCTCTCATTTTGCGACCAAAATATGCTGTGACATCCAACTTAAACAATTTTTTCTCAATTTTTGATTTTATTTATATTTTAAACTATCAAAATGTTCTGTGACTTCCAGATTGACCAAATTATTCTCAATTTTTGATTTTGCTCTTATTTGACACTATCAAAATGCTCTGTGACTTCCAGATTGACCAAATTATTCTCTATTCTTGACTTTACTCTTATTTGACACCATCAAAATGCTCTGTGACTTCCAGATTGGCTAAATTATTCTCGACTTTTGACTTTACTCTATTTGACACCATCAAAATGCTCGCTGACATCCAATGTGTCCCTCTTGATCCCCAATGTGTCCTTCTCACCTCTTGATGACAATCTCGATCTCCAAGTACCCCGTCTTGTTGTTTGAGTTCAGCACCCACACAGCGGTCACGTTTTTCAAATCCCATTCAGTAGTGCCCTAAAAATCGATAAACAAACCGATAGCACTGATTAAAATAGTAGTAGGTTGAATTAATTTTTCTCAATTTTTGATTTTATTCTTATTTGACATCACTAAAATGCTCTGTGACATCCAGATCAACCAAATTATTCTCTATTTTTGACTTTACTCTTATTTGACATCACTAAAATGCTCTGTGACATCCAGATCAACCAAATTATTCTCTATTTTTGACTTTACTCTTATTTGACATCACTAAAATGCTCTGTGACTTCCAGCTTGACCAAATTATTCTCAATTTCTAGATGTAACATTTTGTCACCCGAATTTCATCTCCGAGAAATGCGACGCCCGGTTTTAGTAGAACTTGATCGGCTTGATAGCTCATCACTTGCAGAGTCACTGAGCATTTCTGAAACGATTTCGCTACATTATCCTTCTACTATCAGATGTACAGCATCGGGCATTTGATACGCTCCCCGCCCCATTCCGATTAGCATAACTTTGAACTCAAATATCTTAGTGTTCAACTGTCCAATAACAATATTTTTTTGTCTTATTTGATGCGCCAATTCTTTCTCTGTCGATTCGTATAAAAACTATTCCCAACACCAAGAAATTTGAGCTCAAACTTGGATTGTCAATGGCGGGGCTTTGCGGGGAAAGGGGGCGGGGCTTTGCGTATAAAAGGTTGCACAATCTGCTAACAATTTGCTAACAATCTGCTAACAAACCTGTGTATCAAATGGAAAATTGTGAATGGAGAGTGGACATCGTGACACCATCACCTCTGGAAAGCCGTAGCCAATTTTTCCATCGGATCCGATTTCAATTCTCTTGTCACCAAGCACTCCAGTCACCTCAGCGCTAAATGGAGATGTTCAGAATCGAGATGTTCAGAGTTCAAGAATGGCTACGAAGCTGGAATGGTTGGAATGGCTGAAAGGGCTGGAAGGGCTGGCAAGGCTCGAATGGTTGGGAATGGTTGGAAAAGCCTATTCCAGCTTTTTCCAGGCTTTTGACTGCTTTTTAGTAAGCAGAAGCCAAGAAGAGCACAGAAAGCTCAAGCCAAAGCCATATTGAAATCAGCTAGGGAAAGATCGGACAAAAGCTTTAACAAGCTCTAACAAGCTCTAACAAACTCTAACAGTCAGCTCTGAGCCAAGAATGGATCTAGGTTCAGGCTGCTAGCTAGCTGATTTCAGGGTTAATGCAGAGAGCAAAGCAAAGCCAAGCAAAGCCAAGCAAAGCCAAGCTCCAAGCCAAGCCAAGCCAAGCAAAGCCAAGCCAAGCCAAGGGCCAAGCCAAGCAAAAGCGAAGCAAAGCCATGCAAAAGCCAAGCTAAAGCAGCCAAGCCAAGCAAAAAAGCCAAGCTAAAGCAAAGCAAAGCAAAGCCAAGAAGACAAAGCAAAGCCAAAGCCAAGCCGGAAAAAGCAAAGCCAAGCAAGCAAAGCAGAAGCAAAGCAAAGCCAAGCAAAGCCAAGCCAAGCCAAGCAAAGCCAAGCCAAGCCAAAGCCAAGCAAAGCCAAAGCCAAGCAGCCAAGCCAAGCCAAGCAAAGCCAAGCAAAGCAAAGCAAAGCCAAGCAAAGCCAAGCCAAGCCAAGCAAAGCCAAGCCAAGCCAAGCCAAGCAAAGCAAAGATCAGAGTAAGCTAGTTCAAATCGTTCAAGCAAATTTAACATACCAAGACGTGCAAACGACATCCGGTCGCCAAATTTCATTCGCCTCAACAACAATATTCTGAATTCTCGTCGAATTCCACTGAAATTTCAATATTTTCAATTTTCTAGATCGATTTTCTTGATCGATCAATAAAGTTTTTTTAAAAAAATTACCTGTAAATAACTATCAGTCCAATAGTAGTTAAAGAAAGCGAGGAATTTAATTGTTTCTTGAGTCTCTGCCTAAAATAAATGTCGTAGCCGATGATGAATAAAATTTTTTTTTATGAAATTTTTTTTTTATGAAATTTTTTTATGAAATCTTTCTAGTCGAGAAAATCGAGTATGAGGACAATTATTATATCATCTTGTAGCTTATTCAATTCTGCGTTGATTCGTACCAAATTTGTGAGTTTTGTTTCCAAAATTGCCGGCACTACTAACCGGGCGCCGGTGGACGGTTACGACATATAATTATGTGTCGTAACCGATTATGAATTTCAGCCGATTATGAATGAACGTCCAGACCAGAGGCGTCCAATCATCAATTATTTGGCATCATTCAACGCAGAATCATTAATAATTATGTTAAATTTTTAAAATTAGAAGGATTAGATGAAAAGAACCAAAAAATTGGATAAAAAAAAACAAAAAAAACTTTTTGTTCAACTTTGATGCCCCATAACTTTTTTCATTTTTATCTAATCTTTCTAATTTTAAAAATTTAACATAATTATTAATGATTCTGCGTTGAATGATGCCAAATAATTGATGGTTTGACGCCTCTGGTCTGGACGTTCATTCGTAATCGGCTAAAATTCATAATCGGTTACGACATATAATTCCGACATATAATTTCGTAACCGATTTTTTCCAAACTACAAGATACAACTAAAGACAAAGAAATACAGACAATCGGCAAAAGAAAATACAATCCTTACCACCGCTAGAATATATAAAAAGTGGAGATAGACGGTGACGATCAATGGGGTGGCATTGGTTGGAATGGAAAAGTTTGAGTAAGTGCTGAAGAGCTCTGTGTAAAGCTCGGACTCCGATGACATCCAGGATTGACAATAAAGCGGGAAAGTGAATCGATTCACGTTGAAAACTCGAAGAAAAGACGATGAGAAGGGAAATTTTGGTTGCTACTTGGAAACGAGCGCTAGAAACGTTGCCTTTCACTGGAAAACGTTCAGAAATCCATAAACATTATTCATATGATAGTCTTTGAGCTCTTGGAGCTAAAGATACATTCTTTTTTTTGCTGGTTTAGTTACAGGAAACTTTTTACCTACCTTTTACCCTTCAAAATCGCTCAATTCGCTAAAGAACCAACATGCAAATTTCTCTATTTGTTTACTCGAGAAAACGATAAAAAGAAAATCTCTTTTCCAAAAGGGAAAAATGATCGGCTGTTCGACAAATTTCCCTTTAATCCTTTTGAATCATTGCCTTTATTTAAAAGGTTGTTTGACATCCAAAACTCTCAAAAAGTGACATGAGATTTCTGGCTATTGTACTGATTTTTGTGATTCTTGGCCAATCAGTAAATGGATGGCCGTTTTGGAGACGTTGGCGTGAGTTTTCTTTAATTGAACAAAAGATTTGACTAAGTTAGACTAAAGCTGGACCAGACTCGAGCTCTAGCCTAGCTGGAGTTGGACTAGAGCTGGAAAAGAGATTGCCTGAGTTTTGGATCGGTTTGGGCAATAGTTTGATAGATTTAGTGTTAGATTAGGCTTCGCTAGGAGCTGGTTACGGTTCGACACCTGCTGGATAGGTGAACTGGCTGAGCAAGGCCAGCAAGGCCAGCAAGGCCAGCAAGGCCAGTAGCCAGGTCAGTAAGGCCAGTAGCCAGGTCAGTGCCGGGAAAAAAAAAAAGAAAAGGGAAGAAAAGGGGGGGAAGCCACAAGGCCAGTAGCCAGGTCAGCAAGGCCAGTAGCTAGGCAAGCAAGACAAGCAAGGCCAGCAAGGCCAGCAAGGCCAGCAAGGCCAGTAGCCAGGTCAGCAAGGCCAGTAGCTAGGCAAGCAAGGCAAGCAAGGCCAGCAAGGCCAGCAAACGCAACAAGGCCAGCAAACGCAACAAGGCCAGCAAGGCCAGCAACTGGCTGAGCCAATTGCTATGCGATTTATAGAATTTGACGTAGAATTTGATGCTGAATATCTATTCCGTTTTTGTTAAATGATAATCTATCAGAAGTGCTAAGCGTCTAAAGTTTTGTCTAAAAATGTGGGTGATTTAAAGCTTGGCTGCTTCTTAACAGTTTCTTAAAGGCTTCTTAAGAGCCGCCTTCCCCTCGTGCCTTCGGGCAGTTGTGGCCGAGTGGTAAAGCGCTTGTTTCCGGAGCCAAACCTCACGAGTTCGATCCCTACTTCGGATCTTTCTTTTGTATTTTTTCAAGAAATGTGATTAATTTGAGTCTTAACGGCTTCTTAACGGCCGCTTTACCCGGGCTGTTGTGGCCGAGTGGTAAAGCGCTCGTTTCCTGAGCGAAACCTCACGAGTTCGATCCCTAGTTCGGATTTTTCTTTTGTTTCTTCAAGAAATGCTAACTAGCTTTCTTAGCATCATAGGTAGGCTAAATCAACAGCTATCACCTGCAACTAATTGCAAATTTCTTGAGTCAAAGGAGAGTTTACTTTGATTATTTGAAAGTTACGGAGACAACGATCTAATCACTGAAAACATTGAGTTCTAAGTCGGTCTGACCTTAAAAATTTCGGTTTTCAACCAGCTGATACAGCAAAATATACGTTTTCAGGCATTTTGAATAACTATAGAAAAAAAGAGTATGGTAACTCGAATGCAGAGCACAGCATTCTTGTTCAGGCCCTCCACCACCATTCTATCCCCGTCCATTCTTCTACCCGCCACCACTGCCACCACCACCGATGTTCTACCCACCTCCATATTATTATAGAAATCGTAAGTGTCGCTTGCTTGACCTTTAAATCTTCAAGCTTTCCAGCTGTCGGCAGTTTTCTGCAAGGCGCCGTTGTGGGCGGTTTGGTCGGTGGGACACTGGGACTCTTCGGAAAGAAATGAGCTTAAATCAATTCCTAGAAAACTCTCAAAAAGAAAACTTTTCTAGAAACTCTGCTAGAAAACTCGAATAAAAGTTTTACGCTTTTTGATGCTTTTTGAAAATGCTAAACGTTTAAGGCAGTTTTCTGTTTAGTCGCTCAGTTGTCGTAGATCTTAACACTTCTAATCTTTCTTGTAATCTTGACGACAACAATATCAATTATTTAGTACTTGAATTACTGGATCTATTGAGTGGGATACGGTAGTTATGCTTTAGCCCGAATCTATCTCTAAAACGACTGTAACAGCTTTACTAGCTGGCTTTAAAACAACTGAAATTATTATTGTTGTTTTACGTACTGCCTTCCAGATTGTCGATTTTTCGCCAGCAAGGCCAGCTAGGCCAGCAAGGCCAGCTAGGCCAGCAAGGCCAGCTAGGCCAGCAAGGCCAGCTAGGCCAGCAAGGCCAGCTAGGCCAGCAAGGCCAGCAAGGCCAGCTGGGCCAGCAAGGCCAGCCAAGGCCAGCTAGGCCAGCAAGGCCAGCTAGGCCAGCAAGGCCAGCTGACAGAGCAAGCAGGGGCCAGCTAGGCCAGCAAGGCCAGCCAGGCCAGCAAGGCCAGCTGGGCCAGCAAGGCCAGCTAGGCCAGCAAGGCCAGCTAGGCCAGCAAGGCCAGCTAGGCCAGCAAGGCCAGCTAGGCCAGCAAGGCCAGCTAGGCCAGCAAGGCCAGCTAGGCCAGCAAGGCCAGCTAGGCCAGCAAGGCCAGCTAGGCCAGCAAGGCCAGCTAGGCCAGCAAGGCCAGCTAGGCCAGCAAGGCCAGCCAGGCCAGCAAGGCCAGCCAGGCCAGCAAGGCCAGCTAGGCCAGCAAGGCCAGCCCAGGCCAGCAAGGCCAGCTAGGCCCGAAAAGGCCAGCCAGGCCAGCAAGGCCAGCTAGGCCAGCAAGGCCAGCTAAGCCCAGCAAGGCCAGCTAGGCCAGCAAGGCCAGCTAGGCCAGCAAGGCCAGCTGGGCCAGCAAGGCCAGCTGGGCCAGCAAGGGCCAGCTAGGCCAGCAAGGCCAGCTAGGCCAGCAAGGCCAGCTAGGCCAGCAAGGCCACTAGGCCAGCAGGCCAGCTAGGCCAGCAAGGCCAGCCAGGGCCAGCAAGGCCAGCCAGGGCCAGCAAGGCCAGCTAGGCCAGCAAGGCCACCAGGCCAGGGGCCAGCAGCCGGCGAGGCCAGCTAGGCCAGCAAGGCCAGCTAGGCCAGCAAGGCCAGCTGGGCCAGCAAGGCCAGCTAGGCCAGCAAGGCCAGCTAGGCCAGCAAGGCCAGCTGGGCCAGCAGGGCCAGCTAGGCCAGCAAGGGCCAGCCAGGCCAGCAAGGCCAGCTAGGCCAGCAAGGCCAGCTAGGCCAGCAAGGCCAGCCAAGGCCAGCAAGGCCAGCTAGGCCAGCAAGGCCAGCTAGGCCAGCAAGGCCAGCTAGGCCAGCAAGGCCAGCCTGGGCCAGCAAGGCCAGCTAGGCCAGCAAGGCCAGCTAGGCCAGCAAGGCCAGCCAGGCCAGCAAGGCCAGCTAGGCCAGCAAGGCCAGCTAGGCCAGCAAGCGCACAAAGGCCAGCTAGGCCAGCAAGGCCAGCTAGGCCAGCAAGGCCAGCTAGGCCAGCAAGGCCAGCTGGGCCAGCAAGGCCAGCTAGGCCAGCAAGGCCAGCTAGGGCCAGCAAGGCCAGCCAGGCCAGCAAGGCCACCAGGCCAGCAAGGCCAGCTAGGCCAGCAAGGCCAGCTAGGCCAGCAAGGCCAGCTAGGCCAGCAAGGCCAGCTAGGCCAGCAAGGCAACTAGGCCAGCAAGGCCAGCTAGGCCAGCAAGGCCAGCTAGGCCAGCAAGGCCAGCTAGGCCAGCAAGGCCAAGCTAGTGACAAGGCCATTGGGCCAGCAAGGCCAGCTAGGCCAGCAAGGCCAGCTAGGCCAGCAAGGCCAGCTAGGCCAGCAAGGCCAGCTAGGCCAGCAGGGGCCAGCTAGGCCAGCAAGGGCCAGCTAGGCCAGCAAGGGCCAGCTAGCCAGGCCAGAAGGCCAGCTGGCCAGAAGGCCAGCCAGGGCCAGGAAGGCCCTAGGCCAGCAAGGCCAGCTAAGGCCAGCAAGGCCAGCTAGGCCAGCAAGGCCAGCTAGGCCAGCAAGGCCAGCTAGGCCAGCAAGGCCAGCTAGGCCAGCAAGGCCAGCTAGGCCAGCAAGGCCAGCCTGGGCCAGCAAGGCCAGCTAGGCCAGCAAGGGCCAGCTAAGGCCCGGCAGGCCAGCTAGGCCAGCAAGGCCAGCTGGGCCAGCAAGGCCAGCTAGGCCAGCAAGGCCAGCTAGGCCAGCAAGGCCAGCTAGGCCAGCAAGGCCAGCTAGGCCAGCAAGGCCAGCTAGGCCAGCAAGGCCAGCTAGGCCAGCAAGGCCAGCTAGGCCAGCAAGGCCAGCTAGGCCCAAGGCCAGCTAGGCCCAGCAAGGCCAGCTAGGCCAGCAAGGCCAGCTAGGCCAGCAAGGCCAGCTAGGCCAGCAAGGCCAGCTAGGCCAGCAAGGCCAGCTGGGCCAGCAAGGCCAGCTAGGCCAGCAAGGCCAGCTAGGCCAGCAAGGCCAGCTAGGCCAGCAAGGCCAGCTAGGCCAGCAAGGCCAGCTAGGGCCAGCTAGGCCAGCAAGGCCAGCTAGGCCAGCAAGGCCAGCTAGGCCAGCAAGGCCAGCTAGGCCAGCAAGGCCAGCTAGGCCAGCAAGGCCAGCTAGGCCAGCAAGGCCAGCTAGGCCAGCAAGGCCAGCTAGGCCAGCAAGGCCAGCTAGGCCAGCAAGGCCAGCTAGGCCAGCAAGGCCAGCTAGGCCAGCAAGGCCAGCTAGGCCAGCAAGGCCAGCTAGGCCAGCAGCAGGCCAGCAAGGCCAGCAAGGCCAGCTAGGCCAGCAAGGCCAGCAAGGCCATCTAGGCCAGCAAGGCCATCTAGGCCAGCAAGGCCATCTAGGCCAGCAAGGCCATCTAGGCCAGCAAGGCCATCTAGGCCAGCAAGGCCATCTAGGCCAGCAAGGCCATCTAGGCCAGCAAGGCCATCTAGG